GCCAGGGTCACACGGCAGGTCAGCAGTGGAGGAGTTCTTGAGTTCGGGTCTTCCTCCAAGCCTAGGGCCTGGTCTGGGACCCCACAGCTTCCAGCCTCGCTTCCTGTGCGCCCCATCAGCAGCACCTGCGGGAGCCCTGCTGGGCCCGGGAATGTCCTGGGCTGCTCCTGCCGTCCTGGCTTAGGCGTCCACAGCCTCTCCTTCCCTCTCAGACGTGTCTTGGTCTGGTGATAGCTGTGTGGTCACCAAGCCCGAGACAGCCTCCCGTGAAGGCCTGACCGGTGGCTGTGCGGACTCTGGCGTCCGCCTTGGTGACCGGTCCGTTCCCTTTGTGTGTGGGCCGGCAGCTGTACAACCTGATGACGATGGCTTTCAAATACCAAGTGCTGCTGTGCCCCCGCCCCAAGGACGTGCTGCTGGTTACCTTCAACCACCTAGACGCCATCAAGGGCTTCATCCAGGACTCCCCAGCCATCCTGCATCAAGTGGACGAGACTTCCCGGCAGCTCATAGAAGTAAGAGCATCCTCAGTTCACGGCCTCGGCCCGCAGCTGGCCCTCATTCCTCTGTTCTGTGACAGCAGAGTGAGGAATGCCAAAGCCCGCCACCCTGCCAGGACATTCTGGAACTCGCCGAGTACTGGGGCAGCCCATGGTACAGTGGTTCAGTGCATTTGGAGTAGCTCCCACATGGCCAAGCACAGTTCAAATCCCAGCCCTGGAGTTTGGAAAACACACCAGTGCTTGTGTGTGCGTGTCCAGAATCCCGGATGGGGAGACGGAGGAAAGGGGATTGCGCCATGGCCGTGCCCCGTTTCTCCCTCTCCTTCTGCCCACCTGGCGATTAGAAAGAGACTCCCCAAGTATGCCCTTGGGTGATTTAATAGGCGACGTGGCCCTGAGGCCTCTGACTTGCCTCCGGAGTAGAACGCGTGATAAGGGCACAGACGCTTCCTCCCTGCTGAAAGGGAGCGGCGGGCGCTGTGTCGCTAAGCTTGGGAACAGTCTCCGTAGGTATATGGGGTGGGGTGGCATCAGCGGTGGCAGGGCAGTGGGCTCCCTGCTGCCGAGCCCTCTGGCTCCTGTCGCTGAGCAGCCCCTGCCTGCCTCGCCACATCC